GGATGGATGGATGGATGGATGGATGGAGGGATGGACGGATATGGATATGGGTGCCTAAACTATTGGGAATCGCACTATTTTTTTCAGACTTTTAAGTGATCCAAAATAATTATTGCTGTTTTGCTTATATGGTTTTTACAATTAAATCAATTGTTGTAATTATTATGTTCATTTTCCATCTGGAAATCTAACAGTAATCAATGTATCTATCTCAATTGAAGCTTCTTTACTATTTGACTTTTCCTTCAGTGTTTTTTTCTATTCTATTCTATTCTATTCTATTCTGTTCTTTGGGAATCGTTCCATTTTGACTTTTGATATTGATTTGTTTTCACTTTAATTAAAACAGCTTCACCTACTACCTCCAATTGCTGTGATTCCAAATTCAAGGCTAACCTGCCAGGGTTTTGTGTCCTTTGGTAATGAATTTTCCCAGGTCTGCGACACTTGCTATTACAATAGCGGAATCATTTTGGAAGGTTGTTTATGAGTAACTACACAAGTTTTATGTTCATCTAAGGGGTGAGGAATAAGTTACATTTGAATGAGCAACGTTTATAGTTTGATGCAAAGTATCTTTCACTCCAAAATGTTTGTTTTCTAACTGATAAAAATAACCACAAAAACCTCTTATAATCCTGGAAATAAGGATGTTTTAAACGTATTCATGACTTGAGAACAATTTATATTTTTGGCAGTAATGTTGGAATGAATGCCATGAAACCATTTCTACTGATAAGATGTGTCATAGTTGTTTAGATAATTCAATTTCTTCTTTTATAGGGTAGAGGAGCCCATGCTTACCGGAGCCTACCTCGCAATGCAAGTGGCTGGACCACTCAGTTTCAGAGAGAGATGACTCGATCTTCCCTTAGTGCCAATCATCCAATGGTGGATCGATGGCTTGACCGACAAGAACAGGTATAAGACTACGTTCACAATGCAGCCTGAAGTGACCTCAAATCAGACTTTTTCGCCCTCATGTGACCTGTATCTGATATTTTCATACCAGTGTGAGGCTAGGCCACTTGGATATGTAGTTCTAAATCTGATATGTATCTGAGTTTTTCAAATATGACCTGTGTCTGTAAAGCCAGGTCACATTCGTCCGCCCTGCATGTCACTGAAACTAGACAAACAGCACGATGCTATGCCCTTCTAGGCGAAAAGAACAACATAATAAAGAACAATAATAATGTGGAGAACAGTCAGTGGAAAGAAAGTGAGGTTTCTGTCTTAATTAGTATTAAAAGGGATAACTCAATCAAGGCCAAAGATCGAGGGGTCTTATCGGAATCGGTGCATTTGTATAAATAATCCTGGTTCTATTTCCAAAGAAGAATAAAAAAAACTGTTAAACAGTTTAAGAGCAAACACTGTACACACTTGCTTAGGGTGACATTAATGCGTCCTGTACTGTGCATGACATTTTTAGGTTTGTTTGCTGTTCACACAGGATATCACATACGAGTCGCATATGTTTTTAAATGTGAACGACCATGCAAAGAAAAAACAACAAAATTGATTTAAAAAATCAGATTAGGTCACTTCAGGCTGCATTGTGAACGTAGCCTAAGAGCTGAAACCAATGGTCACATTGTTCTTTTTTGATGGAAATAATTAGCAGAGTTACCATAGTATTTCCCAGTATATACATCAAACCAGCATGGTGTTTTTTTCAATAGTACCTAATGATAGCATGAATCACACTTGTGAAGGTGTTTAAAAAAGAAAGATCCAATACAATTTTCATCAGAAACAGCACAACTGGAGAGGAGAAAAAACTCCTTTCTGTAAGTCAGTGACATTCAGTTGAATCATACTAAGGGTATGTAGAGGATGAAGTAACACCAAACCAAATCAGCTGATTAGCCTTTGCTTGAAACCCATGACCGTCCAAATTAAATTTAAGTCTCTAATGGCAGCGTGCAAAGTCACATCTTGGTCTGCATTCAGCTTATCAATCTAAAACATTATATCCCCCAATTGCTTTCCTCTCAGGAACTTTGAACTTTGTCTAATGCTACCATCAAAACACATTTTCAGTTCAGACTGCTCTGTGTTTGTACATTTAATTTCTATTCATATTATTTTTACACGTACACACACACACACACATACACACACACATATATATATATATATATATATATATGGAAAAGGATCACATCAACAAACATTGCTTTATAAATACATATTTATGTATGTATGTATACAGAATACTGATTATTCTGTTATCATACTGTCGAAACATGAACTTCACAATTTTCCTCTTCGTCACAATGAGTTTTATAATGTCAGAGAAAATACGTTTGAAAGTGCGTATCCTCGCGATGCACCTCCTCGCTCTGTTGACACTTTATGATTGACTCAGCCTGAGCCTGTTCCCTCTCCTCCGCAGTCTGTCAAGAGAGAAAAAATATGCTCCCTTTAAAAGTTATTAAAAGTGACGGAGGCTCTCTGCGGGGAGAGCCGAAATGACCTTGGGATGTGTTGAACATGCTGAGCTTGATGAGCAGAAGATTTCCCAGGTTTATTTGTCAGTCTCTCCCTGTCTCTATTGACTAGCTGTTCTTAATAGAAAGGAGGATGTTATATAGAACTTTTCTAAGCAAGGAAGAGTCAGAAAAAAACAATACAAAGGACAAAAAATATTGTTGAGTGTTGATGCAGTTAAAAGAATAATGATGTGTATTTGAGAAATTATTAACTGACTTCCAAAATGGCATGTTATGCGTTTGCCTTTTCTGCCAAATCATCATTTAGCTTATAAAGATTCTGTTTTAAATGTTCTGGTTGTTGTTTATTCTGTTAGTTTTAAGTAATGTCTTTATACAAAATAAGTCTGGCTGTGCTTTTTTGCCTTGTAACATTATTAATTGATTAGGTATGTTTTTTTTTGCTCAAGGCAGTTTAAATAATTCAATAAGAAATCATGATCATAGTTTTTGAACAGAAATGCCTATTATAGCTAAATCAATTCTTTTGGTGAAATTGTTGTCAAAAGTATAAAAAAAAACAATTTTGCTGTGCTGACCCTTTAAGCTTTTAGCATCTACAATTTGAAAAATCCCTAGGGAAATATTCATTTTTCTTTTCTTTTGAGCAATAATGATGCTTTTTCACAGATAGCTGAGCTGACACTTGATGGTGTGAGAAATCTTCAAAAAGAAATGTCATAACTCATGCTGAATTTAGACATCACATATTGGATATATAATTTGCGAGCTACTTTAGATAAGTGCATTTCCACTGGTGTAGCCTATGACTGAGTATACATGGTGTAAAAGGTGGTTTACCAAATGGTTGAGCAATGGTTGGATGTTAAAGCGTTAATAGTCCGTTGTGTACCTTACAACTATAACTTCACACTTTTTCATTCATGTTTTAATTCTAAGTACAAAGCAACTAGCAACTGGCATGTAGATGTTGATCTTAGCCTAAAATCTGAAGTCAAGCTGAAACAGTTGTTTGGCTGTGTTTAAAAATACCACAGTTTTTCTAACAGTATTAGTCAATCTCATTTTCATATTTTGATATAGTCTTAGATAAAATTGAATTTAAAACATCAGTGACACTACTTTTGTGTAATTTCCACACTTCAGATTTCTAATCATTTAACAAATTGAATAAACATTTACTGATGGGTTTAAGAGGATATGATTGTAGAAACAAACAAAAAGAAAATTATTCTTATGATTGCCAAAAGCTTGAAATATGTATATATTTATTTTAATTACAGCTCTTGACTTTAATAATTATCAACATAGCTGTGAAAAATCAAGTCAAGTCATTTTTGTTGCCCATACTGCACATTATATGTACAAGGATGCCAAGAGGATTGAAATTGCGTTACTCTAAAGTTTATACATCACTAAAATAGATACTCAGCCTTAGATTATTGTTTGAGAGCAAGGGTCACACATTAATAGCTCTGTACATAGAAAAATGTTAACGGCAGGACTGTCCTAGCCAGACACTTAAGCATCCAAAGAATGGCTGACATATGTTTGTCAGAAAATACAAAATCCCCTCATTATAGGTGAAAGAGTAGGAGTAAGAATTTTTACTTTGTGATCCTATGTGAGGACAAAAAACCTCAAACACTGGAACAACTGACACCGTCTTTATGTTTAATGCTTATTCAGAGTGTTGCCATCATGTTCAAGCATCGTCGTCTCTCAACTTAATGCGTGCACTATTCACTGAATGGTCCTGAAACATGACCATGCGGCTTTAAAAATGTGTTAACATGAAATATTTGAGTTTAATTGGTAATGTGTGCTGTGATGGAGTGGCAGCTTGTCCAGGGTGTACACTGCCTTTTACCCAGTGACAGCTGGAATAGACTCCAGACCTCTCTGACCCCAAATTCAATTAGGCGGATATGAAAAGTGGATGGATTGATGGATGGGCAGGTGGTAATGGTGTGACGCAGCTGTAAGTGTAAAGCAGCTCTCACTTGGTACTTTCCTTTTCTGCTCCCCACTAATGAAGCCTTACCTTGCAATTGGAGTATTTGAGTACAGTCTGTGAAACGGAGGTTACAAGGTAGCAGCTGGTGAAGATTAGATTTTTCTCTTCTGTCTTTTCTTTCAATTATCTAGTAATTTGTTTGATTTTTTAAAATGTTTTTACACTTCTTTGAAAAATAACTTAAGGACACACTGTGGATACAGTCCTTTCAAAGTTATGCTCTGTAGCCAATAGATACATTAACTTCAGTAGTACATAGATCTGAGTTTTCAATATAATTCCCACATTTCTTTCACTTGATCTTTTTGGGTCTATGCTTTGGTTATCTTTTCCTTGGTCTCTGTTTAGATCCTGGTCATTCTAACCCATAGTTTTAAAGTTCCTTCCTGTTCAGATGATCAGGTCCCTTTACCTGTGTAATTTATGTCAAATCGTCCACTCAATAATCCTTCTTTGTATTTAAGCTCTCTGGTATCTCTCATTCATAGTCCCAGCCTTGCGTTGCTGTTGGCAGCACCTCTTCATCCCTGTTTTTTTTCAGCCAATATCTTCCTGTTCTTCCCTGTAGTTCCAATTTCACGGTTTTGCTGTTCATTTATTTATTTTTTTTGTCAACCCCTTTGTATTTTGCTTTCAAGTTTAGTTTTGTTCTTTTCATTGCACGACTGTGTCAATGTGGGTATATTGGACACATTTCACTTTTTGACTCATCTCTTTACCACAATGAACTCATGCAACTATCTTGATCACGGCTGGCTTACTTCCAGTTCATCTGTTCTACACAATACAAGCTTGGGTTTCTGAGCGAGAAAATATTTGTTAGTAACAGTTCAATGGTCCATAATGGTTTCCAAGATGGTAAACATACTAACCAGTAAACATACAAACTAATCAAAAAGGGACAGGAGCTGTGCTAGTGTGTTGTTTACATGGATGTCAAGTACTTACCAGGTGCAGTTATTTTTTAAAATGCAGGCTGGATATACTGAATATGGGAGGTTTACTTGACTTGACTTGGATTAATGTGATTAGCTTAGCCAATGTGGTAATAGATGAGGGGGGACTGAGACTTGTCAGCCATGGCTATTAAAGTCACATTTAGGTTAATGTAGAATCAGCCCATCTCTAGGTACCACACTGACTGAAAAACATTTTAAAGAATTATATACAACAAAACGACCTTAAAGCCTGTTAATATTGTCTGGTATTATTGATTTTAACATTTAACCACACAAGATCAGATGGTAAGAGCTAAGACAGTTAACAAAGTGTATATTTTACACAGAATGCTCTCATTGGATCTATCAAGACAGGATTACAAAGGATAATGAACACTCCAGCTACCGGCCT